ATCTAAGATTATTAAAACATCCTTCACTTTGCGCATTTCTATGAAAAACAAATTCAAGTGATGCATTAAATCAAACTCCTTGAAGGATAATGTTTTCTACCAGCTGGGCTTTTTAAATTTTGAACTGAAATCATTTGAGACTCGGCTTAAAAATACACTTTTTCCTGTGAACTGACCACCAGCAAATTATTGTTGGCTCAATGGCAGGTGTTTCATAAGAACCAGACACCAGGCAAATTGACTAGCTGTGAGGATGATTTTGCCCACCTGGTTTGACCATCTAGTGGAACGTTTTTCTTATAAAGAAGTTCAGTTCAAATAGTTCTGCCTGCCTGTGAAAACCAGTTGCCCTGAAACATTAATGAAACCCCTGCAACAGACTGTTTTGATTGGCAGTAAAAAACACGCACACTTTACAGAAGCTGCATCTAATCATGAATACTTCAAGTCACGGTGATATATTCATTATCTGTCTTTACCTTATTTAGACTCAGACTATGGACAGCTATCATTGGAGACGTGGACCTTCTTACATGATATTTATGATGGAGGTCCTGTGTTTTTTATTGAGGGAGAAAAAGAGATTGAAGAAAAAAAAGATCAACAAGAACAGGAAGAGGAGGTTCAACAAGAATGAAGGTACAACTCAAGTGGTCAGTTTTAGTATAATATTTTTATTACTTGATTAAGAAGGAGGAGAAGGCCAAATTTGAAAAAATCTGCCAATCAGACTGCTTTTTTACAAAGTATTTATAGAGGTATAGACATTTGACATGGTATTTGAGATTTTGATATAGGCTAAGTGCTTAAAATCCATTGACACCTCTAAAAAGATCATTTTTAAATTTGTGGAATGGCCAAGTTTGAAAGTTATGCCTTTATGACTGACAAAGATAATAAGCTCTGCAACATCTGAGGATTGTATGTAAGACTTCTCAAACTCATTAATAATTCATCAAATTAAAACATTGAAATCACAACCATGAAGGAGGTTTGGATACCCAGTTTTAATTAGCATAGATTTTGGTGATTTTACTCCTTAGTTTTTGTTTCAATTGAGAAGATATATCAAACACTCGAGACAGTGTTTCATTGGCCATCCATTGGCCTCAAATTTCGTCAAAAATACTCTGGTGCGTGTCATATTTTCAACTCTATTTTTGGTGTTTGGATACACTGTCTCTCGTGTTTGATATATTACATGCAAACTTCCCTGAACAGACCTCATGCCTTAAAGGCTGGAAAACCACTGTCTTCTTAACTCAGTAATGAACTCTCTTATAGGTGGTAAGCTAAAGACAGCTTCCTTTTCTGTTTTCCAGGTCCTGTACAGATCAAACAACCAGACTGTAAAGTCTGTTTAAGACCAAGCAGAAATCAATACAGTCAAGTTCTTACCAAATGTGACTACTCACATATAAAAGTCCTTGATTTGCATGAGATTTTGGTTCTCAGCTAATTTGTATTGACTAAATGTGTAAGGGTTATGACACTAGCTACCTCTCATGTAATATTTAGCCAGTGGCACTGAAATTATTTTACACCCCTAATTTCTCTGTCATTTACTGGGAGAGATGTTTGTCATCAGATATAATTTTCAGGGATGTTTGGTTTGAAATTTTAAGACATAAAATTTTACAGGTACTTTAGCAAACAATCAGTGCATAGTTATGTTTACTTAATATGTTATCCATAGTCACTTAGGACCCTATGTCAGAGACAACTAGAATTGTATAATTACCATGTGCAACATATTCAAATGTAAGTGAATTCTTGACATTTTCAGCAAAAATGTGGCTGCCACATCTGTTGCAATGTCTACTGAACTCTGGTTTTGAAATGCATCGTAAAAGTTAAGGAGATCGAGCATATTCTAAGAAAATATTTTATCTTGTTAGACTAATATTAATACTCTGAAAAAGAATCAAGCAAAAAAAAAACTTGGCAGAGAACCGCAGAAAAAGAAAGAACAGTATTGGGTTTTGGCTCATGGAGTGAGGCAAAAGTGGCTGCTCGTGACTGTGTGACATGGCGAAGGAGAGTGTCTGGCCCCATACCCACTTAGGGTTATGGTCAAAATCTAATCTTTTAGGCCTCAGATCAATCCCTAAATTCCTCATACTACTTTCATAAGTTTAATACAATGTCTACTTGGGAGGTTTGCTTTAAGGGAAGGTCTTTTATAGTGGCAAAATGTGCTCAAGAAAATAGACTTGACTCCCTCTATGAGATACACCTGCAGGGAATCATGGTAGTTGTTTTCACCAAAACAAATATCCAGTCCAGGATGATGAATACAGCTACCATGATTCCTGTCAGGCACATCTCATAGAGGGAATTGGGCATTGTGGGTGAGAGAAAATGTAATTGCTGGTACATCATTAGGGATCTGGTAACCAAGTGAGATACCTGGACTTCTTCCTGTTGTCATTAACCCCTCAAGTGATCAGCATTTTATTTCTCTACACATTATTAAGGCAATTAGCATTAACAGAAGTTTGTGAGAGTTAAGGAACCGATTGGTTCATGACATTGAAAATTCTCCCAGTTTCTTCTATGAATAGATGTTCAGTGATCAGTGACTTGAACATTTGTCTATTAGTGAAAGTTAGACATCCAGAAACCAATTATGAACAGCTGAAATTAAAATCACATGATTTATATGCCATATTGGCATATGTGTCAGGTTTTCAACAATTAACACTGTAGAATGCCACATAATTTGTAAAGTAAGTTATGCAGTAAAAGCACATCTTAAATCCAATAACAGGGAATTTTGCAACTATCCATTCTTAAAATTGTATTATAGAAAACAGTAGAGTGACTATAAAAATTTTTTGCTTCACTGAAGATTAGATTAACTTTTTCCTGTATCACTCACCGGGTACATTTGTAGGCAAATAGAAGATACAGCATTTAGGAGAGGTAATAGTTCTGACCTGGACAATGTGTTTATCCATTAGAAAGTACTCAAGGTTGAGAATCTTAAGGAACATGAAAACAAAATTGAAACTTGAAAGGCAAGGTTACCACAAGGTTCAGTCAGTTGGGTGATGAACTGTAAATGCTATTTGCTTAGTTCAAAAATTTCCCACAGAAAGAGCACTTTTGTTTTTAGCAATTGAATATATGAAATATCTTATATTTAAAGTAGCAGGTAAAGATCTAAAGACATGAGAGATCAGCATAGTTGAGTATGTTATTGCTAAGTGCTACACACAACTGGGATGACATGTCATGTCTTTAAACTTTTATTTTAATACTTGCCACACTCTAGGGTCTCACACCCAAACACATGTACTCAACATAGCTAAAAAGGACAAAATTTTATTTTATTTTAAAAGCAAAAACACAAAGCAACAGCAGACATTCATTTGGATGACCAGTCGACCTTGAGTGATTTTTTTTTTTTTTATGGTTAGGCCATAAAGTCCTGCTTTTCTATAAGCAGACAGTAATGTGAAGTGATTATGAAATCTCTAGTGTGATGTTGCGAACATTACAATTGCCAAATTTATCGCAGTTATTTTAAGAAAAATTAATAATAGGGAAATATGTTTGAAATAAAGAGAAGTGTAACTAACAATAACAAGGTCTAGTTGTTGACTTTCTAAATGGCATTAATGGGATGCTTGTCATAGTTGTATGTTTTGAAATTTTTGTGTTGGTCCATTTAGGTTGCACCATTTTAAATTTTCTTAGTTGTTACAAATTATAGACCTCTCAAAGAACCTTTTCAACGTAAGTTATAGATTAAAAGGAACTATCAGAATGATGCCAAAACAGCCTCCAGGATGCCAATTTGCATATGGTAGCTCAAGGGGCAAACTTACTCCTTTTTGGACACTAACATCTGAATGTGATCCAGCACCTCCAGGTTAATGATCAAAAACAGAGACAACTCAAGAACTTTCATTAATAGGAGCTCATATAGCTGTAGCACTGTTTGACTCATTCACGATCAATATTACACTCAAATGAGAGTTCAAAGTAAACTACAAAATCATCATTTGTTTAGTCAATGTCGTTTTCTTGAAAGTCGCTTGAAATACAGGCACTTATTGAATGAAAAATGCTTTCTAGAACAGGGGTGTTAATTTAAAAAGTAAGTAAATTCTAGATTTTATTTATAAAGTAAGCAATTCCTTATTTATTGTGACCACTCCACTTAGCTAAAAAGCTACTTGTCAAGAAGCCCACTCTTAAAATAACTTAAATGTACATTAACTAATAAATAGTAGTCTGAATTTCAGCCGTCACTTCCCTTTACCCTGAGGGGGGGGGAGGAAGAAAGACGACGTCTCTCTCCTACGCCCCCCTCAGGGTAAAGGGAAGAGACGGCTGAAATTCAGACTAAATAAATAGGTAAACAAAAGAAAATACAAACTAGTTAAAGTGTATGGACATAAAATTAAAATAATTATTTACAGTAAAAGATATATATAATTATAACATTGTCAATAATATAAGTAAATTCACAAATTAAGAATTTAATAATTGATATTATAAAAAAGTAGCACCCAACGGAAGCACTTATAGATTGGGGGGTGCTTATTGGAAAGAGGGTGCTAAATCAAGTCATGATCAGTCATTTCAGAGGAGTCTTTGACCAATGTCACCCATCACTCATCAATAATGGAGTCCTCATTGGAGTACAATATGAATTAATAGATTGGAAACATCTTACTTGAGCTGGTCCAAAACAAATTATATGAGCCTTTGTAGGTAAGTATTTTTTTGGTCCTCCTGTCAAATGTCACAGCCATGGTCAGGGGAGGGGCAGGGCCTGTGTTGTACAACCCCAGAAATGACCCCATGACCTTGTTCCAGAGGTTTTCTTACTTCTTTCTTTAGCTTATTTTCACTATCTTACAAATCAAATTCAATTGAAAAATAGAAAAGAAGAATCCAAGGATCTGGATTCCAAAACGATCCCCTGTTTTTTAAATCAATTTTAATCAATTTCTATCAGCAATCAAAGTTTAAATATTTGGGCATTAAATTACTCACTCAGGACTTTCTTGCCTAAAAAAAAAATTTGATCAGAAAGTTGTGCTCTGCAAAATTCAAAAATCTTATTTTTTTTAAAGCTTATTTTACTACTTTTTTTTCCCTAACGTTTCTCATAATTTTCTGTCGCGCCGCAGCTAAAGAAATATAGGTCCCCGCTCAGGAAAATTATTTGGGGCTCTCCTTGAATGAGGTCTGGGGATCCTTTAGGATCATTCTGGAGGGGCTCCATAGGACTTTACCCAAGACTCCTCTCGACCGTGAGGGAATCCCGTGATCCTGTCGCAAATTGTCACCGTAACAATTTCTCGTTTCGCCAAATTTTCTGTTCCTGCACTGTTCGTGATTTATCTGCCAGTTTTGTTAATTCGCTGAAGGATGGAAACTAGCCAGCTTCATGTGCGTAAGGCAGGGTGGGCGATTCTGGTCATCGGTTTGTCCCTAACAACCTTTGGAATATGGTGGACATGTTTCCTCCTGTTGTATGTCTTGTTGTTCGCTGTCGGTTTCGCTCTTGTGCTTGGCTATTGGGGTTGTCTAATGTCGCAAGAGATAAAGAAAAACACTCTGGAAGGAGATTTCGGCGCAGTGTCAAAAGGACTTGAAAAAGTGATTCAAGAAATTCAACTGAGCAGATTGTCATTCAAAATGGACAAGCGCCTGACTGGTTCGAGCATCATTGATGAACCTTTACAAGAGGTTTTGCAGCTCTTCTTTCGTGATTACGTCCATGGATGGTACTACGACAACATCAGTACAGATGAAGGCTTCTTGTATGATCTCAGACAGACACTACAGAGAGCACTGATAGCTTTTGCAAACAGGTCCAAAGATGTTGAATGGGTAAATTTCTTGACTACACGCCTTGTGGATGACTTAACAAACCATTTGAAAATTTACCGTCAAGCCAAACAGCGAGTGGAAGAAAGTGAAGGTGACAGTGCTCCACTGGATATAGAAACGGCATTCTTTCAAGTAGAACATGAAATGGAGAAGGAAATATGCCGAGAACAAATTTGTTTATCAGAAGGAAAAGAGAAAGACTATCTCTCAGACATCAGTGAAATGCTACTATATCTCCTGCTGCCTCCAGAAGACTTTCATAACAAACCATTCAGATATTTTTTCAGGGAAATGATTGCCACATCCGTGCTTTTCCCAACAGTGTCCATGGTTTGTGACCCAGATTATGTCAATCAGACAATTGCTTGGCTGTGTCAAGACTCGGCATTTACAAGAGATGCCTTCATGACAATGATAAGGGAAGGCCTCACAGCTGTAGAAGATGTGGAGGGTACGAAAGACAAAGTTGAGCAAGAGATTGCTAAATTGAGAGCACATGATTCAGAAACATCAGATGCGGCTGATGTTGCCGTGAGACAGCAACTAAGCAGTCTTTTGTTCGTAAGGAAGATCTGTGAAGCAAAGATAAGGACGTTGAAGTATGGTGATGGAGAACTTCCTTCAATGCCCTTGGAACAGCCTGACGAGCTTGGCAAATTACTCTCACCAAACCAACCGCTGCCATCTCTTCCTCTTCAGGTCATTTTAGATAACAACACTGCCTTGTCTTATTTTATTGAGTTTATGAACAACGTCAATGGACAGGTGTATCTTTACTTCTGGTTGGCAGTTGAGAGTTACCGTGTAACTGCTGAGCAACAGCTATCACTCAGTCTGGAACAGCAACTGATCAAAGAAAGTGATGGTGGCGAGAATGAGAACATTGGCATCCCAGCTGCTGACGTGGAAGTATTACGACTGGCAGCTCAAAACATTTTTGACCAGTACCTGTCAGAAATGGCTGAACCAAGAGTAGTGCTATCCAAGGAGATGCCAAAGAAAATTTTTAAACGCATTGCTCAGGAGGAACCATCCCCAGATTGCTTTGATGATTGTCAGGCTCAGGTATATGAAATCCTTGGTCAGGAATCATTTTATGGGACTTTTCTAAAAAGCCAAGCTTACATCAGATGTCTACTGGATTTGGAAATACCTTTGGAGAAGTCAGATGATCTTGAAATGGCTTCTAATGCAGATGATGATGATGTTGCAAGCATTGACAGTGAGTTGTCCCAACCAGAGGAGGAAGGTGCACCAGCAGTTAAACTGTGGACCGCTGATGATGATATCAGACTCAATGCTACCATCACAGAGACAAATTCATGTAAAGATGATGGCAGAACATATGCAGTGTACACCATCAATGTTTACCGTGCAAGTTCAGAAGGAACAAAATCTTGGACAGTTTTCAGACGATACAGTGATTTTGATGATTTACACCTACATCTGAAGGAGAAGTTTGGGTCAATCCCTACTCTTCTTCTTCCTGGAAAACGAACATTTCACAATTTGGACAAGAAATTCCTAGAAAAAAGACGAAATGCATTGGATTTGTATCTACAGACTCTTCTGTCCACAGAAGTTCTTGGCCAACATTTGGGCATGTTTGAAATAGTAAACAACTTTCTGATACCTGGAGCATATGCTCGTGAGAAGGGACAGTTTGCTAGAAAGGTGGATACCCTTGTGGCTCCAATTCGTCATGTGTC